CTCCTCCTCCTCCTCCTTCTTCTTCTTCTCCTCCTCCTCCTCCTCCTCCTCCTTCTCCTGCTTTTCCTTCTCCTCCTCCTCCTTTTTTTTCTTCTCCTTTTCCTTCTGCTTCTCCTTCTCCTTTTTCTTTTTCTACTCCTCCTTCTCCTTCTCTCCTTTTCCTTCTCCTTCTGCTTCTCCTCCTCCTGCTTTTCCTTCTCCTCCTCCTCCTCCCTCTCCTTCTCCTTCTCCTCCTCCTCCCTTTCCCAGCTTTGTAGCTTTCTCCATAGAAAAGGTCTTTGCATAATGTATCCGAAGTTGGATTTTATTTTGAGCATGATCATTTGTACTCCTGATTTGTTTAATGAACCATCATTTTTTTTTCTTGGCTGTCTACAATATGCTCAAGTGTCTCCTCCAACACCAGAGCTCCAAAAAAAGTCGCTTCTCTTCCTACCCCGTTGCTTCGAAGTCCAATTTTCACTTGCACCTGAATGTCAACGGGAAAAAAAATACCGCTTGTCCGATTATGATCTTCGTAGCCCAAGGCTTCCAGGGCTGCTCTTTGATAGGCTAGTCTGCTGCGTATTTCCTGATTTTTCCTTCCTTTACTGTGGATGGTAGACCCTATAACGTGGATGCTTTCCCCTGCTTCAGCATTCATTCTTTCCCTGTGTTGCTTTAGGACTCCTCCCGGGATATCCGGGAAGCTCTCCACGAGCTGCTATGTTGCACCAACGTCTCGACCAAAGAAGGCATCCATCTTGCCTTGGCGGAGCTGCTAAAAAACCTCGCCAAATATCCGACGGACAGGGATTCCATCTGGAAGTAAGTCTTTGTTTGTCCCCTCAAGGTGGAATACAGGTCAAGACTTTAGAAAGAGGGCAGAGAAGAGCAACAAAGATGATCAGGGGACTGGAGGATAAAACATATAAGGAACGGTTGCTGGAATTGGGTATGTCTAGTTTAACGAAGAGAAGGACGAGGGGGGACATGATAGCAGTGTTCCAGTATCTCAGGGGCTGCCACAAAGAAGAGGGAGTCAAGCTATTTTCCAAAGCGCCTGAAGGCAGGACAAGAAGCAATGGATGAAAACTAATCAAGAGAGCGAAGCGACACAGAACTAAGAAATTTCTTGACAGTTACAATTAATCAGTGGAACCACCTGCCTCCAGAAGCTGTGAATGCTCCAACACTGAAAGTTTATAAGAAGAGACTGGACAGCCATTTGGCTGAAATGGTATAGGGCAGGGGTAGGCAACCTCGGCTCTTTTATGACTCATGGACTTCAACTCCCAGAATTCCCGAGTCAGCTATGCCGAGGTTGCCTACCCCTGGTATAGGGTTTCCTGCCTGAGCAGGGGGTTGGACTAGATGACCTCCAAGGTCCCTTCCAACTTTATATAAAGAAACTGGGTTGCGGTGTAATGTGCTAGCGGCCCAGGGGTAGGCAACCTTGGCTCTTTTATGACTCGTGGACTTCAACTCCCAGAATTCCTGAGCCTGCATGGCTCAGCTTGGAAACCTCCCTTTCCCCTCAGCATGGCTGGCTCAGGAATTCTGAGAGTTGAAGTCCGCGAGTCATGAAGGGGCCATAGTTCCGCCATGCTGGCTCAGGAATTCTGGGAGTTGAAGTCCACAAGTCATGAAGGGGCCATAGTTCCCTCATGCTGACTGAGGAATTCTGGGAGTTGAAGTCCACGAGTCATGAAGGGGCCATAGTTCC